TCTAAATCCTTCTGGTGGAATCATATAAATTTCTTACGAAAATATCCATTCAGAAACGCTGTGGAGACATCGATTTGGTGGATGTGGTAATTCTCCATTGTTGCAATTGCTAGAACTAACAAAGGCTCATATCGGGGGATGGTTGAATATAGTCCACCGTAGTCAATCCCGAACTGTTGGCAATTCCTTCTTACAACTAATCTTGCCTTAAACCTATCCACAGAACCACCGGCATGGTATTTTACGTCTAATACTTAATGATACCCTAGTGCCTTCCTTCATAACCAGGTATTCGAATAGTGGCTAAAGAACAATGTGTTTTTATTTACGGCCTGGGAGCGGTTGAATTTGGAGACGAAGTGGAAACGGAAGTATCAAGATATCTACAACGAATACGCACTTCTTCGGAAGAATGCCAACCTCTTTCCGTAGTTCGAGACAGTGATTCCCATTGGAGTCGAACCGATACCTTTCACATACTACAAAAACAACGATAGCTCCTAGTCGAAGTATTTGCTTAGAAGCTGAGTTTTACCAACGCAATACGCTTGTGCAATGAACCCTTCGATTACCGAATGTGTAGGCAGTTCAAGGACTATAACAACACCGATAACCTTCTAGATGTCAAAATTTGTGTCGCATTGTTTTGTCCTGATCTAAATCTCCTATTCTACAAAGAGACAGCGCCTACTTTGCTAGCAAATACCAGGTGTTCGGGATATCCGCACAGAACGCATGAACCATTGGCTTGGAAGTATACTAAAGTATGTTTTAAACTGTTAGATTTTTTAATTTAAAAAATGTCCTCTTCAACTGTGTCTCTTAATCACTACAACAGCTGCACATTAAAAATGAACATAATATAATAATTGTATGCACTGGTATTAACATGTATTCAATAATTGTCTCCAAAATATATTTATAGGCTAAAGCATTGCAATTTTTCACATTATAGAACGCTTTGTGAGGAATTTCCACACACACTGGTTACTGTTCGTGACATCTTTGACGAA